GTAGTTGGTCTCGGTGTAGCGGTTGTTGTGCACCACATCTAATGACCTGCTCTTGGAGTCATCGACATCGCCCACCGCGCCCTCGCCGGCGTCCTCGTCCACGTTGGCCGAGATGCCGTAGTCCTCGCCGCCCACCTCAATGTAGCTGCCCTTCAGCATGTACACAATGTCGCCCTCGACTTCCACGGGCCTGTCGTTGTCGCAGAAGACCTCGGCGTTTGTCAGAGCGTCCTTGAAGATCCTCATCTGCAGGTTCGTTTCTTCGGCTGTGCTGTGTGTGTGTGTGTGTGTGTGTGTGTGTGTGTGGAGTGCGCCTGAGCTCTGGAACTGGCAGAGTATGCTTGAGGGGACACCAAAGACAGGAGAGACGCACACAGAGAAAGAAAAGTTGCAAAAGCACAGGCGCACCACTCTCATGCCACCGACACGCGCGCGTGTTCCCTCCACCGCCACCGCCATCACCCTCTCAAACCAGCAGCTGACAAGTATTAACAACATACAGCGACGGCGACAACATCACGGACTTCGGTGTCGCTTCATGTAGCGGGCCATCATGGCATCTACGGCAGCCTCCTCCTCGGATGCTGTTCCCAACGCGAGCCCCAGCCACCGCCGTGCCGTGCTTGGCTGCACCAACACCGCCGCACCCTTCCGCTGACTTTCACACTCAGCGGGGGAAAAGACGTAGTCTAGTAGATACTGCAGCAGGCGCGGACCAACAGGTGCGCCGCTCGCATTGCCGATAGACCCTTCCTGCCGCATCCACCGCTCCAACGCGCCCTTCCAGCCAGCACCACCAACATCATTGTCGCCGCCGACGGCAATGGCGGTCTCAGCTGTGGTGGCGGACGCACGCCGCTCCCTCTGTTCATCCCGCAGAATTGCCGCGCCCACAGTGTATGCAATGCAGAAGAAAATCTGCTCCATCGGCGGCAACACAAGCACCGTGAAGGGCACCGCGAGGGGCGCCGCCGCAGTCACAGTCGTCACGCCGTCCAACAAAATACCATCCTCGCCTGCTGCCAGCGACTCCACGGCATATCTGCACGCTGTGACCCTCGCCGCCACCTCCAGGGACACCCGCAGCCGTGCCTCCTCCATCGCCTCCTCATCGCCGTAATCCCCCGACAGATCCCTCTCGTCAGCTTCCTTGCCGGCTTGGCCACCGAGGCTGCCAAGGTGCGCCGCGGCGACATCCAGGGCCATCTGCGCAATTCTTCCGTCGCCCGAGACACTTCGCTCCGCCTCCGCCGCTGCATCGTGCAACGCATCCTCGTCCTCCGCGCCTCCTCGTTCTCCGCCGCCACCGCCACCACTTTTCGCTGCAGCCGCCACCACGTGCAGTTGGTCGTGGCCGCAGAAATGTGTCACGGTGCAGAAGCACGGGAGCGCGATCCACGGGCCGAGTGGCGCAGACGCCGCCTCCGCTGCTGCCTCATCCTCTTCCGTCCCCGCCTTCGTGCAGGACGGAACGAGCAGATGCTCCAACGCCGCCTCCAACCGCTCTTGCTGCTGATGCTCTCGCAGCTCGGACCCCACTAGCGGCTGTGAGGGCACATCTGCGCGACTGCCACTGTCCCGCAGAGCGGCGCACACTTCACACCACGCCTCTTCGCTCGGCAGCGGCTGCCACAAGTGTGCCAGCTCCTCTTCCACCTGCAATGCCTCCTGCACAGCAAGAAGAACCACCACCACATTGGGACGGCCGCACCGTTCGCGAAGATCACCAGCTGGAAGCACGGATGCAAATCGCTTCAGCGTCTGCAGCAGGCGGGTGCGGTTCTTCTGAATGGCCCTGCCACGTCGCAAGAGATCGGCACGGAACGAAGGCGTGAGGGCCTCCGCACGCGCAAGTGCCTGCCGCCGACGGATGCGGTCACAAGCAGCAGTGACGTGTCGTCGCAGGCCTCCGCGTTGCCGCGCCGCCTCCTGCATTGCAGTGTCAACTTCTCGTTGAAGAGTCTCGGCGACAGTGGTGACCATTTCCCTCGCTGCTTCTCTTCTTCCCTGTGCGGCTCCTTCCCCACCCCCTGCCCCAACTGTCGACCTCCGCCTGCCTTCCTTTCCTCTCACAGCCGTGCCCCTCACCCACCCCCACTGCCGGCTGCGGGCATTGAAATGAAGAAACAGCAAGGAATAGAGAGAGAGAGAGCAAAACCAACAACGGATGGAACGCCCTCAGTCTGGCGCAGCGGCAGCCACCAAAATACACAGCACCGTGGTGCAACAATGCAACACGTACACGTACACGTACACACACACACACACACACACACACAACCGCGCAGCCCCCTCCACACAGGCATAAACAGGCAAAAAAACAACAACAACATACAAACATGGCGCCAGACAAACTACACGTCCGATCTCTAGTGGTAACCGGTCGCCGCGGCTGCTCCAGTGCCCGCCTTGGAGCTCCCGATCCGCTGCATCTCGGCATTCGCCCGAAGTATCTCCTCGCGCGATGTCTCCAGCACCATGCCGCCCATCACTATTTCCATTAGCAACAGCTGTACCCTGTCTGAGTGGAAAATGAGGTCCAGTTCGCACACGTTCTCAAAGATGCGATCGAGCGACTCCACGAACACCTGGATAAGATCAAGTATCGCCAGCTGGGACTCGCTGCTGTCTACAATGAACACAAAACACAGCGTGGCGTAGTGGCGGTACACCACACGGGTATCGGGAGTGGGCCAGTCGCGGAAGTCATCCACAAAGTTGCAAAGGTCAGCGCTGCGCCGCGAGATAAGGCGATGAATGCGGCGTACAAGTTCCTGCTGAACACCAAGCGGAACATCCTTCTCATACACGTTCAGCAGACGAATCTTTCCCGCCGTATTGATGATGATGACGGCCTTGATCATAATTCACACCTCATCAATGGCCGGGTGATCCCGCTACTGCCGTCACGCCCTAACCCAATAAGCTGCACAACTAGCAAATGGAATGAAGAGACAGAAATAACAAAAGGAAAAAAATGATGCAAGAGCGACAAGCAACCAGCGCAAACAGTAACAGCCATTTCTCCTCTCCTGCTCCCCCCCCACCCCCCAACTCAGCACCCTTGCCAGGTCTGCACGGTCCCCCCTCCTTCCTTGGCAAGCAATGCGGCACTCAGTATTTCCGCTACTCGTCGTCTCCCGAGTCCACTGTGATGACCTCGGCGCCCCCAGCACTGTTGACGTGATGATGGTCAACCGCAGTTAAATTGGTGTCAACGATCGGCCGCAGCGGCGTGCGCGCGATGGACTCATCGCACATCTGCATCAAATAATCGACGCCCATCATGTCCACCGCCGGACGCTGCGCAAAGAGAACAGGCTCCACTTGAAAAGGTGGTAGCTGGGTCGCCCCCAGCACTTCTTGTCTCATGGGTTGCTGCACCAGCCGCTGTTGCTGTTGCTGTTGCTGGCGGGGAGCAGGAAAGAGCACCAAGGAATCCACGGTGTGTTGCTGCGGCGGTCTCGACGACATAAAACCGGCTGTCGAAAGGGACACCATCGGATCGTACGTGGTGCAGGTACTGCATTGCCCCAGCGGGCTCTCAGGCACAGTGAATATTTGCGGCTGGCGGCGCTCTGGCGGTGACGGTGGCGGCGTTGACCCGCCTCCGGTGAGAACCACACTCGGCACCTTAAACAACGTCTTCTTCGGCAGTGCGGGGCCCGCTGCCGCAGCACCTCCTCCTGCTGCTGCTGCTGCTGCCGCTGCCGTGGTAGTGGCCGTTGATGCTGGATGCAGCGGTTTCTGCGGCGTACCATCGGAGTCCAGCAGCAGTCGGACCCCTTGCGGTGGTGCAAGGACACCAGAGTCACGCGCCTTCGGTGAGGTCCCTTCGTCGTCCATGACCTGTCCAGCGTGCAGGTCCCCGCGTTGGAGGCGATGGCGGCTGGCAATCGCAGTCGTTGTCTGCCGAAGCATCTCCTCCTCCACCAGCGTAAGCTCGCCCACATCCCCAATGTGTTCATGCCGGAACTGTCGGTACAGACGCAGTATATCAGCACCAAACTTCCTCACCTTGTTCTTACCTAGACCCTCTAGGTCGCCCAGCTGCGACACGGAGCCCCAGCCGGGCTCAGCCAGCGTCGCAACCAGCATCTGCATTGTTTTCCTTGGCATGACGTTGTACTGCCGCCCACCCTCTGAGCGCTCAGCCAGGGCTTGCACGAGCGTCTCCACCTGGGCAAGGAGCTCCGCCTCGAGCTGCCGCAGCCGCACCGTGGGAACTGCAACCACCGTCTTCCGCGGCGTCTCGTCCAAAAGCGATAGCGCCGTAGCACTGCTTGTTGCCAGCTGCACCGCACTTTCTCCCGCTGTGTACGAGGACGATGACCGATGAGCATGGCGGAAACGGCGGCGTTTCCTGCAAGGTGGGGAACATGGGGACACAGAGGTGACGGACGACCTCTCAGTCACAAAGTCCGCGAGGGAGTCGTCGCTCGCAGCTGAGACGTCAGAGGACGAAGTGGACGCCGATGACGACTGCGCACACTCCGTCAACACAACGCCCCTGTTAGTTCCTCCCCGCCGCCGCTTGCCTCTCTCATTCTGCCGCTGTTTGCGTTCTTTCACGGCCACCTTCGGAGTCGCCGTGAAAAGCGCCGCAGTCGCACCGCGTTTCTGCCCAACGGCGTGCGCTCCGGCTGCCATCGCACTGTTTGGGTGGTCCCTGCAGCTCGTCCCAGCCGCGGCAGATGCAGCCTCGACGGGTATGGCGGCTCGATGCGCCTCCTGCGACGCCGTTGCAGCGCGCTTCTCCCCGCGCACTGGGAGCACGACGCAACACCTGCCGCCCTGCACGTCGTGAAATGCCTTTATCCCGTCGCCGTCGCCCGTCTCAATATACGCGCAGGTGACGAACTCCGTCACGCGTTCAAGCCGCTCCCTGAAAATTCCAAGAAGAAGCGCCTCAAGTACGACACGCTCCAGGAGAAATTTAGTGTGTCGCGAGCCCAGTTTGTATTCTGGCGGCGCACCCTTTTGCCGCATGCGAATCTCAACAACTTTGCCAACATCAGCTGTGCCGCGGTAGACACCGATCAGTTGCTTCGACGTGAGGGAGCCGAGGTGCAGCACAATATTAAACAAGTCGACCACAATCGCAGAGACGTCCAACTTCGCCGCATCCCAACGCTCACTCCGCTTGCTTGCGCAGTTGTCACACGTCGTCACAGACCCCTCGGGCTGCGTCAGGCAGTAGTGCTCGTCCATCTCTTCCCCAAAGTGCACAAGCTGCTGCATCCGGCGGCAGTGCACATCATTCATGGTGTACGCCGCCATGCGATAGAGGGAGGCCATGGAGGCCTTCCAGTCCTTACTTCCATATATCAGCTGCTCATGCCGCTGCTTGTCACTTGGCGAGCACAATAGAATGCACTCAGAGGGCAGTCCATCACGCCCCGCACGCCCGCTCTCCTGGTAGTATCCCTCAATAGACCTCGGCATCGCCGCATGTACGACAAAACGCACATCCGGCTTGTTGATCCCCATCCCAAAGGCAATCGTGGCACATATGACCTGCAGTTCATCCTTCGTCCATCGTTCCTGCTTCTCATTCTTTCCGCTTGCTTCGGCGTGGTAATACGAAGCGCGTATCCCTGCTCCAACCAGCTCCGCAGCCATCTTCTCGCAGTCTTTGCGCGAGAGGCAGTACACAATGCCGCAGGACCGCGGGGGAAAGCGATGCTTGATGAGGTCCACCACAACTGAACCCACGGAACGACCCACCTTCCGCACGGAGTAGGAAAGGTTCGGGCGGTTGAAGGAGCCCTTGAAAACCAGCGCATCCTGCAACCTCAGTGTGCTAACAATGTCCTGCTGCACCAGGTCCGTCGCCGTTGCTGTAAGAGCAGATATGGGTATCACGGGAAATTGCTGCTTCAGTACGGCCAGCTTGCGGTAGTCTGGGCGGAAGTCATGCCCCCACTGCGAGACGCAGTGTGCCTCGTCCACGACGAAGCGGCTCAACAGGCGACGGTTGGCGAGGTGCATGAGACACTGCACAAAGTGGTCGCTTCGCCCAAAGTACTCCGGAGTGACATACACTAGTGTGTGCACAATACGTCCCGATGCCCACTCCGCAAATAGGGCCCGCCGCGGTGCGTCCGACGTCTGACCTGTCAGCGCTATTGCGGGAATGTCGTTTGCGATGAGGGCGTACACTTGGTCTTGAATGAGGGAGATAAGGGGGGAGATGACGATGGTCACCTGCGCCGGGTTTGGCATCAATGCGGGGAGTTGGTAGCAGAGCGACTTCCCCCCTCCTGTTGGAAGCAACACAAACGCGTCACGGCCATCCATGCACGCATTCATGATCTCCAGCTGCAGGAAGCGGTACTGGTGCAGGCCAAATACGTCAATCATGGTCCGTCGCAAATCCGCCGACCAGATGAAATTTTCTCCCCTGTAGCGCTCAACTGGATTCACCGGTGGATGAACAGACGCACTGGCAGGGGAGCTCCGCTGCTGCAGGTGAGATGCCTCCTGCTCGTATTCCTCCCAACTGAATCGATCGCGCGCATCGCCCATGTGGAGCCGTGGCTCATGTGGAGTTTCCCCCCGCGGTTCATGGGAAGACACAACATGTATGCGCCTCTCCTCCTCCGCCCCCGCGGCTCCTACAAACTGCCCAGGGTGCTGTACCCTCATAGCAACGCCATCGGAGGCGGGGCTGGTCAAGCCAAACGCGCCACCACTCCAATCGAAAACAGACGCTGCCGTATTTACACGGCCAAAACTAGCAGAGGCAGATTCCAGCGGCGTTGTGGATGCTTGCATCAGCTTCGTTACAGCAGCAGGATCACCTGCAGCGGAGGAGGTAGAGGCACAGGACACCCGCCCGCCCACATTGGAAATGGGGCTACTACAAGCGCTTGGTGGGGGACGCTGAAGCAATGCCGCCTGTAACTGTCGCAAGCGAAGAAATTGTGCTTCGGACCAGGCAACGGTGCCTGTGGGAGGCGGTGCGACGCACGCTGTGACGACAGCGGCTGGAGAGCGTGCGGCAACGGGTCGCGGGCGAACTGAGCAGCCACCACGGCACCCAACGCCGAGACCCACATGCCCAGAGCACCCTCCACCCCCCAACCACGCGATAGTCGATTCGCCGCCACGTACCTCGGCCGTGCAGCCCCAAACGCAGGGCGGACATTGCGATAGTTCAGCAGCGTCAAGACGTTTTATTTGCGCCTCACAGCTCGGCACTTGTGAGGCGGTGCGCTGGAGCCGTTAGCTAAGCCCTCCAGTGGAGGGCCGTTCATGCCGGCGGCGGAGCTCTGTGGAGGGGCCGCCGACGAATACGCCATCAAGGCCCACCGTCCCCAGCTAAGACCTCGGCACCGCATAGTGGGAGAAAAGGCGCGCCCCGCGCTGCTTGGTGACACCAAAGCCACCGGTGTGGAGTG